GGTATATTTTATGTCTCATCTTCCGAAAATGAAATTTGGAATTGATGTGTTAGCCCTTGAACATAATAAGGGTGATAAAAGCACATTTTATGAAGAGCTTTCATCTGCATTGAACGAAATTACTGGAGGGAAAAGACATTTGCTTCAAAATGGAGATGACATTTTGAATCAACCACCTTTCAAAAATCCACTAATCACCTTCAATTGGAAAACTCTTATGTTTCAGTCGTCTATTTCAAGTGGAATTATTTGCATTAAACATATTTGTTTTGAAGTCATTCCAAAATTCATGTCTGTCAGCACCATACAACAATGCTATGCAATCATTCTATACGCGCTTCCATCAGGACAGGACGTGTCAGTTGAAGTTGTTGCAGCTAACATTTGTTACGAAATGTTCATTAAAAAAAACACTTAAAAAAAAAACAGTTGTTATTTCTTAGTGGAGTAATATTGCTTTGGATATTTGATTGGAAAGATATTTGGCTGAATGTGTGGCAAAAAGATAAATCAACAGATTCTATACAGTTAGATTTTAGAATTGCTCATCGGTTTTACGATTGATACCTCAATGAACCGAAAAAGATACACAGTCAATCCTTATAATTAAATTCGACATCGAAAACATGTACAATAGTTTAACCAAACAGTTGTATATATCAAATCAGACAAAAATGACGAGATTGATAAACATTCCAGGTGTAGGAATACATACTGTGGCGTGACATGAATCAGGTGATTGTTTCATTTATGCACATAACTTGACACGCCCACAAAGCTAGTAGCCAATCGGAAAATTGGGATCAAAACAAAGTTCCTCGGACCTGGCAAACAATGCAAAATACGAGAAGAACTGCTACAGTCAGACTGCAACGAACCGGAACAAATATGTCCGTGAGAAGGCGGCTGTTTCAAATGACATGGCCAGTTACCGCCAGATTCCAACATTAGTTCCCTGCGAACGGGAAGACTCAGATGGCAAAATGCGGGCTAGAAATGAAACCCGAAGACATGAAGTTTCCTCACATCAAGCTGACGCGCCGTTATACAACTGAAGTCATGTTCAACACAGACTTAAACCAAATTCACTCTCTTATGCAACTAGTTTGCCCAGATTACAGCTATTTTGATGTGTTGCTTATAATACTGAAGATTTCCTCTGTGATTCAGGACGTAGTGTGATATTGAACAGGAAAGTGATAACTGTTATCTACAATTATGGAGAGAGACATGAGCACTATCATAAACCTTTTCCCTATGGTTAGGAAACAGTTTTCGTCATATTTCATTTCGATGCAGATCGCGGAACCGAGCACGTCAAGATTTGGCAATGGAACCTACTCAGGTGAGTGAGTTTAGTTTCATGCTGCTTTGAACAATATTTCAGTTATAAATTATATATTTTGATTTGATTTTGTACGGCCCGTGAAGTGAGGTTTAACGTCGCGTTCAAGATTATTGCAGATAAAAAGCGACATGCATGTGTATGTATGTGAGTGTGAGTGTGAGTGTATGTGAGTGTGAGTGTTTGAGTGAGTGAGTGAGTGAGTGAGTGGACTAACCCGGACGTAATGCTGGCTTGATAGTGGTAGCATATTAAGGTGATTACCCCACCCATACACAGTTTACTGACTCGAAGCCGACCTGTCCTTGTTTTATCCCCTTTGGAACCGCGTAGTAGTTGTAGTCGTAGTTAAGTGGATATCTCATGCACCATTATTTTGTACTTGATAATCACACCATTCATTCACTGAATTTGATTTTAAAAACAGCAGAAACTTATATCGGTTCAATATGTCATCACATCACAAAAATCTAATATATCCAAATATACCAATATGCATATTTTTCTTATAGAAAATCAATGTTTTCATATTATGGTTCCGTTTAATGAGGCTTATTATTTCGCATTCAATTTCGCGAGCAACTACGGCATCGTTCAGGAAAAGTTACTCTTCCGTTTAGATGTTTCACCAGATACAAAGAAACACAACTGAAAGCTTTGAAACACGACCGTCACGGTGTGTTGTTAATGGGATTCACGGCGAAGAAACATTTCTTAAACTTTTCATTATGACATTGTGTTGTGACGGGCTCTTGAAAGTTTGAAATTCGTTCTTCCTCCCCTTTTGTGCAAGCTATTCATTTGTAGTTCATAATGTACTCCATGTAATCCTTAAACGCTTTAATAACAATGCGAAACGCTTGCATGTATATCAACATTATTGCAGCCATTAGATTTGTTCCAATAAATATAATTTATTTCCTTTCATCTGTTGGGTTGATATTTTGTCATCCAGGAGAAATTTCAGGTTTTCGTATAATACTGAATAATTGGACTTTTCGCCAGTCAGCGGAGTGTAAGTAAGTGAGGATTGGCTGCAAAGAACTAGTAGTCCTGGGACAGGCAAACCGTGGCTGTTGTTGTGACATCGGGTTGCAACCACGTTGTGACCTGGATTACTGTAAGTCACCTGAAATCTCTTACTTGTCCGTGAGCACGGGTAACCCAATCGCCAAGGACGCCGCAATTCATGTATGTTGCGCAGAGTTGCGTCCCTTAGACGTGCCAGAAACCTATTGTCGTGAAATACCTGAAATAGTGTTCAAAGCGCCGTTAAATCCAACTCACTCACACAAAGGTGGATTGCGTTTTCTTGCTTGTTTGGCCTTTTGATCGCCGGCGGCGTTGAACGTTGCTCGTAGAACCATACAAGCAAGCCAGGCCATACAGGTTTTACAAATGTTACTATAACGGTAATGCTATTTTTCAGGGCATTATCATTTGCAGAAGCCCGAGGTCTTCCATTAACTGCCCGACGAAGGAGGGCAGTTGAAAAGACCGAGGGCTTCTGCACATGATAATGCCCTGAAGAACAGCGTTACCGTTATTATAGCTAAAATGGATGGAATTTTGTATCAAATAAAAAGAAACAACAATATCGGTTTTGAAACATTTACTGCAATCAACACAAATGTCACTGACCCACTATTACAAATATGGAAACGTCATAGAACAAAGCAGGTGACGTCACTATTTAACGTGACGTCACCTATGCCTACCCTATGACGTCACCCAACAACGGACGTGATAATGGCCCGTCGTCAAGCCATAGGGCATTATCAAGTTACAGTGGCCCGCTGATTCTTGATAACATGCGGGCGGTGTACTGATAATTCTATCCATTTTAGCTATAATATCAATTATAGGGACAAGTTTCTTGACCAACAACAATCATATTGTGTGGCAAGAATCTTCATTTGAATGCCATCACAAACACAGAAAAAGCATGAGGCCTGTCAATGTCTGCCATGTTCATTTCAAAGTCAATACCATTAGGCTGTCCACACGTGTTGTGGAGATTGCTGGGAAAGTCCAAAATGTTTGGCGCAGGGCGGTGAGGTTTACCACTTTGATGAGGCGAACGAACACGGATATGTTACTGGCAGACCAGGATTCCATATCACAGCCAATCATGCAAATCAACACTGCACGGCGAATTTTTATTACAGGAGTGAGTGGGTTGGGTTTAACGCCGCTTTTAACAGTATTCCAGTTATATCGCGGCGTGTCAGCTTAATGTGGGAGGAAAGCCCGAAGTGATGCAGGTCTCTGACGTTTACCACTTCGGTGAAACCCACGAGCACGGGTATGGTGCTGACAAACCTGGAAACATAATTGGGGCGAACCGTGATTCGAACCCACAATCATAGGTTTCTGGCGTGCCCAAGGGACGCAACTCTGCACAGCGAATCGCGGCGCCTTAGACGACTGGGCCACCCGTGCCCCCTTATTACAGGACAATTAGGTAGCACTTTATGTGATTCTTGGCCAATCAGCACCATACCTGTGCTCGTGCTTTCATCGAAGTGGCATCCGTGGGGACACTTGGGTAGAATGTGTCCCCAGCACCACAGAGCTGATTGGGGGGGGGGGGGGGGAGCGACCAAAGTGGGCATCCCCTGAAGATCCGGGTTAGAATGGATCTTCAGCTACCCGATCTTGTCATAAGAGGCGACTAACGGGGTCGGATGGTTAGACTGGCTGACTTGGTTGATGCATGTCATCGTATCCAAATTGCGTAGACCGATGCTCATGACGTCAACCACTGAATTGTATCGTCCAAACTCGACTATTTACTGACTACTAACCGCCGTCATATAGCTGGAATATTGCTGAGTGCGGCGTAAAACAACAAGCAAACAAAGTGGTGCATTTCCATAAAAAGATGACACGTCGTGATAAAATAGAAATATCGTCTCACTCACTCACTCACTCACTCACTTTAGGAACTTTAGGAGGATACTGTTCTTAAGACAGAAATATCGGTTCACTCACTGACTCACCCACCCACCCACCCACTCACCCACTCACTCGATCACTCACCAACCCACTCACTCACTCACTCACTCACCAACCCACTCACTCACTCACTTTAGGAGGATACTGTTGTCAATCACTACAGCATCTGGTGGGATTGGTCTTCCTTATCCAATATTTTTTATAACAAAATGTGCTTTATGGGACTTCCCGAAGAGTGTTCTTTGTGACACAAATCCTAGGTTGATGCATGTCATCATATCCCAGTTGCGTACATCGATGCTCATGATATCAATCACTGGATTGTCCTGTCCAGACTCGATTATGTAATGACCGCCGTCATATTGCTGAAATATTGCTGAAATATTGCTGAAATATTGCTGAATGCAGCGTTAAACATCATGTTTAAAAGTTCATATGACGATCGCTTTTATTTAGATGACTGGTCCACCCGTAGCCTTACAAACAATGGATAAGAATCTCCGTCAATCTATAATTCGAACGCACACATTAAAGGCGACAAATGTAAGGTTATGTATAAATGAATTGCCGTGAGACTTTGTAAAGAGAAGGAAAGTCTCACATGACTTTCCTTGCGCGAAATGAGGCCATGGTCATCCAATCAAAACGTACGTACGTTCTCTTATCGGAAACCGTTATTTCCGTCCCATGTTACCATCTATGAGCCTGAAACAAGCGGTGAAAGTGCAACGCAGGAAACGGCCTTCAAGGGTATTTTCTAAAATTTCGCTGTGCATCTTCACGATCTCACTCTAGAGCTCATCATGAAGTTTTATAAGGTAAGAAAACGATTTGTGAACCATTTTTAAATATATCTCAGAAATACAGCCAACCCTTCCCAATTTAGAAATACTTTAATTGGTTTGGTGTAAATTTCATATGTATGTGTGCGAGTGTGAGTGTGTGTGCTTGCTTCGTCCGTTATTTGTGTGTGTGTGTGTGTGTGTGTGAGAGAGAGAGAGAGAGAGAGAGAGAGAGAGAGAGAGAGAGAGAGAGAGAGAGAGAGAGAGAGAGACAGACAGAGACAGAGACACACACACACAGAGTGGGGAATCGAACCCGGGCCGTCGGCATGACGAGCGAACCATTAGGCTACCCCACCGCCCCTTTTGGAGCTAAAAATATATTTTGAGTGCATGATGTTTTATGCCGGTGTAGGAGGATCAGGTCGATCCCGCGGATCAAATCACTGCCCTCAGAATCATAACACACACACACACACGCGCACACGCACACACATACACACACACGCACACACACACACACGCACACATGTAATTAGTAATAATTGACTGACTTATTTATTCCTTGCTTCACCCTTAAAATAATTATATTGGTAGACTTTTCATTTCCTTACCAGTATGTCAATATAACAATACAAAATTATTTTAAAAAGTATATAACCGTATTTGACAAAATCAAAAAATACCGCCATTCAAAGTGAGTAAATGTGTGAGTGAGTTAAAAGTTTACATCGCGTCGTATACATTTATATTGCAGCCTCATAGCCATGTCAATAAAGGACAGTACAACAACTAGTATATTTTCACAGAATTATTAATAAAGCTAGTTTTAACATACCACCATTCAAATACTGTCTATAACTTGTTTAACTGTAAACTACTACATTGAAAAGTAGTAGGTTGGTAGGTTTGTTGTTTTACGCCGCACTCAGCAATATTCCAGCTACATGACGGCGGTCTGTAAGTAATCGAGTCTGGACCAGACAATCCAGTGATTGACATCATGAGCATCGATCCACGCAATTGGGATGCGATTACATGCATCAACCAAGTCAGCGAGCCTGACCACCCGATCCCGTTAGTCGCCTCGTACGACAAGCATATTCGCCTTTTACGACAAGCATGAGTTGCTGAAGATCTATTCTACCCCGGATCTTCACGGGTCCTATATTTAAAGTTGAGTGTTACGATGATGATGGTAAAATCGATCTACATAGATAAGGACATGATTTAAACATATTTTATTCAATGAATCTGGATCGGTAAACAAGCCAAAGAGCTTATGTTAATACCTCTCCAGTACAAGTTATCTTCATGAAGACATTAAACGAAATAATACATGATGATCAACTAAATACGTTAACAAGAAGTGTGGTCATGGACAACAGTTTGTAGTTATGAGAAGAAAAAATAATATAAACTGGGCGGCAAAAGAAAGTATAGGTCCAGTTCCATGATCGATAACAAAATATCAAGAAGAGGTTTTGTTGTTAATTATAATATAATCTAGGGAGGGGTAACAAATGATTGATCGACCTCAGTTTGAATGATATTGTGCAATCACAGGTAATGTAAGATCAAGGTAAACAATGGTGGGGTAAGAAATTTCATTTTCAAAAGTTGTCTGAAATGTCACCAAAACATTGTCAGACACACTACATGTTCATTGTCGACACGGTTGCCTTCAATTGCGTGTATGACCTCCAGCTGCCTCAATGCATGCTGTGATACGCCGCCTCATCGATGACGTCAGTCTTTTGTTGACGTGGAGTAGAATCCGTTGCCTCTCGTCTCTCAGGGCCTGCTGCAATTCTTGTCTGTTGACGGGCGGCTGATGGCGTGCTCTAATCTGTCTGTCAAGATGGTCCCACAGATGTTCAATAGGATTCATATCGGGTGAGTGGGCAGGCCAGGGCAAAACGTCAACGTTCTGCTGGTTTAGAAAGTTCCGAGTCAGTCTTGCAGTATGGGGCCTGGCATTGTCGTGTTGAAACAATGTTCCCTGCTGTTGGTTTTGTAAGAACGGAAGCACAACTGGCTGCAACAATTGGTCTCTGTACTGCATTTCGAAACAAGTTAAACCGACTTTCATCAGTAAACAGCACTCGATGCCAGTTTCTCACTTGCCAGCGTCGAACCTGCCTCGCCCATCACAGTCTCAGGCGTCGATTTTTAGCAGTCACTACCATTCCTCGGAAAGGACGATACGCACGGGTTCCAACAGCACCAAGTCGTCGTAGTACTGTACGTTGGCTAATGGGATGTCCCAACGCTGTTGCTGCCGTCGCCGTCGCCGTCGCCGTTACGAATCTGTTTCGCAGGTGAATGAGCCGTATCTGACCGTCTTCCAGTGGTGTTGTATCTCGGGGTCGTCCGGTTCTAGGCCTGTCCTGTGTCCTTCCTGTCTGCCTGTACCGTTGAATCAGCCTTGCTTCTGACAATGGTGTACAACCAAACCTTCTGGCAATTTCGGCCTGTGTTGCCCCAATTTACCTCTCTCTGCTCGTGTGACAGTCGTGGCATTTCTTTTGTGTGCTTTCATCTCGTGTGGTTATACCCTGCAGACGAACGCATTTATACAGCTAACATGCACGTGCAGTTTATGCCATAAGCGGGAAACCTGTTTCACCATTTTTTTGTCACCGCACGAGCGCCGTCAAAGGTGGCGCGTTCGGGTGAGGTGTTTTTTGGTACCTGTGCCTGGGCAGTCATATTCCCAAAAAGCACTTTCCACTAGTTATCGCTGTTTTTAGGGAAATTACAAATTGCCAACCTATACCTTCTTTTGCCGCTTAGTTTATAAGCGGGATATATACTGAACCGCAAAAGAAACGACACCCCAAGTAACATTGCAGGAAAAGTTTTCATTTAAATATCTGGGTAATTTTTGTCAAAGTTTCTAAAATTTAACATTACCTTGTCCAGAAAAATGAAATTTGATGATAAAAAAACAAAGCAGATGACAATAAAACCGATCGCCCAAACGCATGCACGTGAGTTCCGTGCAAATTTAAATGCACATGCGTTCCCACATTTCATGCCCTGTAAAAATCCACCTAAATCGGATAACATTCATTCGTTATTGAATTGCTACCACATGCCACGATTGACAAGAAATCAGCGACACCAAGCCCTTGGACAATTGCAAGCTGGACAAACCGCCCGGCAAGTAGCCAATGCATTTCAAGTCCCCCTAGGGATCATATACAGGCTCCAGCAACGGTACCAGACCACCAACAGTACAGATGACCGACCACGTAGTGGAAGACCAAGGGTCACCACCCGACGTCAGGATCGTAAGATTGTGCAACAGCATTTTCAAGATTGCTTTGTTACTGCTGCGGAAACTGCTCGACAGACCATGGGGACACACCAGCGACAAATTAGTGCGGACACCGTGCGTCGACGATTGACGAGCAGACACCTCCACTGTCACAGGCCACACCGAGGACCCATTCTGACACCACGTCATCGCCAGGACCGTCTTCATTGGGCAACACAGCACCAGCATTGGCGCAACCAGCAGTGGAGAAGAGTCCTCTTTTCAGACGAGAGCCGTTACTGATTCTCAACAGCAGATGACAGAGAGAGAGTGAGTCTGGCGACGCCGTGGGGAACGTTATTCGGATGCTTGTGTTGTTGAGAGAGACTCGTGGGGTCGTCCGAGCATCATGGTGTGGGGTGGAATTGATCTTGCATAGAGGGTCGGCCCTTTGGTCTTCCAGAACATCGGTCCAGGGAGAGGCAATGGTGTCGCAGCAGCTCGGTACATTGATCAAGCCTTGAGACTACACGCCATACCTCATTTTTCCAAGGGTTTTAGCATGATAACGCCCGTGCCCACACTACATGAGCAACAAGAGACTTCCTTCAGCAGAATGGCATCAGAACCATACAGTGGCCTGCCCCAAGTCCTGAATTAAATCCCATTGAGCACCTGTGGGACGAGATTCAAAGACGGTTGAATGGCGTCCGACCAAGGCCGACAACTGCAGCTTAACTGCGCCAGGCGTTCCTCAGAGTGTGGGCTCAAGTGCATATGGCCTTTTTCAACCGCTTCATCCATTCCATGTATCGACGTTTCACGGCAGTTATCAATGCACATGGCGGACACACGAGATACTGACTTGTGATGCCATTTTCTCAGAGACCAAGGTTGTGTTTCACTTAAAGAACATTTGACACTTTAATTTCGACCTAAATGATCAGTTTTGCCAAGTTTCATCTTTTTAATATGTCTCAAAGTATGTTTGGACAAATAAGGTTTCTAATATATCTATCCATGGTAACGTTTCTTTTGCGGTTCAGTATATATACTCACGTCAGTTTAAACCTTTTGGAATGCAGTATGTATGCATGCACTGATTTTAAGATATCAAGATTAGTAGCTTCTGTACAATTAGCACATCCATTCAGTACAGTGTTAAAATTTTTATTAATGCGAACCGCTAACGGTCTCATGTTTCGCATTAATTTCCTGTTCGCATTAAGTTCATGATTTACAGTATATGTGTTTGTGTATATGAGTTATTTTTCAATATTTCTTTAAAAATGTTACTTGAAATAATATGTCTCGTGGCAACAGTTATGGTGGGTTAATTTAAAATTTAGAACTGTATTTCATATAAGGAAAACGTAATTCGTCAACATGTGAATACCACTCATGCTCACACTCACACTCACGCTCACACCACGAACACACTCACGCTCACACTCACACTCACACTCACACTCACGCTCACACTCACGCTGACACTCACACTCACGCTAACACTCACACTCATGCTCACGCTCACACCACAAACACACTCACGCTCACACTCACACTCACACTCACGCTAACACTCACACTCACACTCACGCTAACACTCACACTCACACTCACGCTAACACTCACACCACAAACACACTCACGCTCACACTCACACTCACACTCACGCTCACACTCATGCTCACGCTCACACCACAAACACACTCACGCTAACACTCACACCACAAACACACATTCTGAGAGAGATATGATTTGATATTAGCATTATTTCACTCTAGAGTGTGTCAGTCAGTTCTGGGGTCAGGTCGCCTTTTAGTGATTCTATCTTAGGACAAAATCAGTCTGGAGTGAAATTAAGTATGTTGACTCTCACAAGAAGTGTCGGTTACTGGGGATCAATTCTACCTATGAATACCCACGGATCGTTAGAGTGAGTATCGTTTTACGCCGCTTTTAGCAATATTCCAGCAATATCACGGCGGGGCACACCAGAAATGGGCTTCACAAATCGTACCCATGTGGGGAATCGAACCCGCGTCTTCGGCGTGACGAGCGAACGCTTGAACCACAAGGCTTCCCCCAAAGCGGATCGTTAGAAGAAATGACCATCTCAAAATTCCTTATTTGAAATCACAGTGAGACTAATATTTGAATAGATCATATTCAACAACGTATTTTCATGTTGTGGGTTTAAGTTTAGATTCCATAATTAATTTCCCTGTGGTCTGTTGTAAATTTCCTCGTGATTTACTGTCCGTCAACAGTGTGCCATCTGTCGCCCAAACGGAACCGCGGTCTCCGGGCAAGGGAAATGTCCTCATTGTTTAGAACAACAAGTGGGAAAGATAGCAATGATTACACATGTTGGCCAGAGTGATACACCCGAACAGCTCGATAAAGGCATTGTATACACACAAGGATGTGGGGAAAATATCCTATATTTGCCATTGTTTATAACACTGTGATGACGACAATATCCTTAACTGAAATATAGTTTTCTCAGAAGCGGATCCAGGATTTTGAAAAAGGATGTGGTGGAAGTGTTGTGGTAGGAGAGGCGTGTGTCTAGTCACACTGTCTAAATCTCAATGATTCTGTTGAAAACCTACCCTCGGATCCGCGGAGGTCATTTTCTTTATAGTGAGTGAGTGAGTTGGGTTTAACGCCGCTTTTAACAGTATTCCAGTTATGTCACGGCGTGTCAGCTTAATGTGGAAGGAAAGCCCGAAGTGATGCAGGTCTCAGACGTTTATCACTTCGGTGAAACCCACGAGCACGGGTATGGTGCTGACAAACCTAGAAACATAATCTGGGCGAACCGGGATTCGAACCCACAATCATAGGTTTCTGGCGTGCCCATGGGACGCAACTCTGCACAGCGAATGGTGGCGCCTTAGACGACTGGGCCACCCGTGCCCCCTTCTCTTTATAGATATAGGTGACAAAGAAACAAAGAAACTGAAACTGTAGTGGTACCATGGGCGGATACAGCTTTTTTGAAAAGGGGGGGGGGTGCACAATTAAGATCTATTTATTGTCTTTGGTGGTAATTTATACAGAAATAAAGATTTTTTTCGAAATAAAAAAGGGGGGGGGGGGGGGGGGGGATGCGCACCCCCGCACCCCTCCTCTGTATCCGCCCATGGGTAGTGGTGGTAGTAGTAGCGTTGGTCGGTAGTGGTAGTGATAGTAGAAGTAGGAGGGATCGTGTACAGGTTCAGACTTAGATACCTTTACTATCTGACATGGATGAAACACAGGGGTTATGTAGCTGTTATCAAGCTGATGTTACACTTTGAACAGAAATGTGCATACATCATGAAAAACACAAAACTTACAAACTTCCTTGTATTTTCAGCACCTGTACATGGCCCTGCTCCTTGCTATCTCAGGCTTAGCAACGTCTGGGGATGTAGGAGGAGCTAGCTGCCAGCCGTGCCACTGTTATTCTGTTGAAGGCGTTATGGAGGCGGACTGTTCTCACAGAAACCTACATGAGATCCCAATACACCTGCCACCTAATATCACCGATCTTAATCTTTCAGGAAACAACATTGTTCGTTTAGAAAATGGATATCTCAATTACAACAAGCTGCTTAGGTTGGATGTTTCGTCGAACAGAGTAAGAAGCATTGAGCTTGATGCTTTCCGGAATCTGACAAACCTGGTAACTTTGGATCTTCGTGGAAATCAATTACCCCCAACAAATAAGAGTTACCATGATGGGGTGTTCAGCCATCAGGGAAAGCTGAGGAAACTTTACATTCATAACAACGTTGAATCACGTCCTTCCGCTGATAGTTTAATAAGAAGCTTTTCAAGTTCATACCCTGATGGCGCCTTCAAAGATCTTTTTGCTTTGGAAGAACTGATCATTGATGGTATGAGAGAGATATATTTTGGAACTGGATTCAAATTCTTGAAACAACTCAAATATCTGTCTCTTGGTGGAGGGGATGGTGGAATGTGTCATACCCGCAACTTGAGGAATAAGACCTTTGAGAATGTGCAAAACCTAAAGACTCTAGATGTGTCACACTGTCTGTTGATTGACATTGAACTCTCATCTTTTGAAATGCTTAAGAATCTCCAAATTCTTGATCTATCATTTAACAGGTTCTTAGGTATATTCAAGGCTGGACAAGCTCTGTACGGACTGCAGAATTCCTCACTCAAGGTTTTTGACGCGAGTAGGTTAAGTCGGACTCTAGGGCCAAGTATAACTTTGCAAACAACTCATATGAAATATCTTAGAAACATAGAATTAGAAGAATTAAATATTACAGGAAACAGAATCGAACTGATTGATCGAAATGCAATGTTATACCTTCCAAAATCTCTTAAAAAGATTTGTATCAGAGATAATCACCTAGGGTTTGGGTTATACATGCTTGAATTGTTTATTTTGACGAACTTGAAATGGTTTGATGCCTCTTATCAAGGTACATCATCTCTTTCCTTCTTTGATAATGAAAAATTGTATTCAAGACATCGGCGTCATTCAGTTCAAAACACACAAGCTTTGACATTGAATGTTGCTCTAACCATACCCCCAAATGCTACATATGCAGATTTCAGTTATTGCAAAATGACTTATGATATTGTAAATTTTCATTTCAGTGAGAACAGTCTTCGTGAGTTAAATTTATCACATAATTATCTCAGCAAATGGATCGGGCCCATTTGGGGGCTAAAACATCTGGAGATAGTTGATTTGTCGCACAATTTCTGTGATTTCATAGGTAAAGAATTTGGTAAGCACTTTCCATCCATTAAAACGTTGAACCTTGGTTACAATTATCTAGGCTATACACTCCAAAATGATAACAGTAAATTTTTTCATGATTTCCCCTTGCTTGAAAGTCTGGATCTGTCAAATAATAAAATAACTTCTTTTCCCAAGACAATCATAAAAAATCTAACGCTTATCAAAAACGTAAATCTAAGTAATAATTATTTGATGACGTGGAATTCAGAAATAGTCAACTTTGACATGAAAATGCTAGACCTATCAAGAAACCTGTTTGAAGAGGTTCCATCTCTTTTGCGACATCAAGTCGGTTCCATGACCATGAACGATTTCAAACTGTACTTTGAAGAAAACCCTTTGAGGTGCAGCTGCACAACGCTGGCGTCATTGATATGGATGACAGAACATGCATCTAAAATACAAAATTATGCAGGAATATCATGTGTTGATGAGGGTGGCAGAAAAGTTATCATGGAAAACATCCATCAAGTTATTCTTGATCTGAAAAAGAAATGTGCATCATATCTGGGCATGACTCTTGGGGCCCTATGTCTTGTGATGCTGGTTCTGTGTTTGGGCATAGCAGGAATCGTGTACAGGTTCAGATGGAAACTGAGATACCTTTACTATCTGGCACGGATGAAACACAGGGGTTATGTTGCTTCTGGGGAGGAAGAAGAGGATGGGTCACAGTTTGAGTTTGATGCCTTCATCTCCTACGCTGACGAGGACCGTGGGATTGTTGTGGAGGACATGAGGCAGATATTGGAGGGAAGGCATGGACTTCGACTCTGTATCCACCATCGAGACTTTCTCGTTGGAGAAGCTATTGCTGCCAACATCCTGAACGCCATCAAATCCAGCAGGAAGACGGTGATCGTCCTTTCAAGAAACTTCTTGAGGAGCTACTGGTGTAAGTACGAAGTGGAGATGGCCAGGATGGAGAGCATCTACACTGGACGGAACACGCTGCTGGTTGTAGTCCTAGAGAACATCCCTGTGAAGGACATGCCTCCTGATATTGTGGAGTTAATGCGTCAAGACTCCTACGTAGAGTACACGAATGATCGGGAAGGTCAGGAGGTGTTTTGGCAAAATATTGACCGTGCTGTGCGTATTGCTTAGATGCTTGTTTATATATAGAAGCATGTTCTGTGTGTATCATTTTCCTCATTTAACTTGTTTTAATTATAATATTTTAAGATTCCTTATTTAGCATATTTTATTTTAGCATACTTTAAATTTGATTTTAAGATTTTAAGATAAGGAGTGTCAAAACATTCTCCACAGGGCTGTAAAACAAGAGGGACGACTTCAACTTTCCCTTTAAGTCGACCAATATTCCTGCAGCTCCAGCCCTAGGTGTCTGCATTTCAAAAACATTGAGGTACAACCAAGCATTTTCTTTCTACCAAGATTTCAAAGAGCGTCATAATCTCTTGCTCAAAAGACGTTTGACCAAGGTAACATCATCATTCAAGGTCAGAAAAGCTTTCAAAAAGTCGACACGTGGATGACATTTCCAAATTTGACGCATCAGTGACAAAATTATGTCCGATGCAATTACTAATTTGTCCCCGTGTTATTTCAGGTGAACAATTTATTTGCCTTTGCATGTGTTTGTGACGGATTGTGCAGGTGGGGAGACCTTTTCGCGGATATCTTATGAACATGCAAAGGGTTTTAACGCTTTTATTTACATTTTATTTCAGTGAAACCAAGATGTATACAGTCTTTCTTATATGTTTGATGTGGTTTATTGTTAAAGTTGCTGTTTGTTGTGCTTGGGTTGACCTGACCCCTCCGTGTTTTCTTGTTCACAATAATCTGATTTATCTAATGTATACCCATACCATGCATGTCTTACAAAAGGTCAATGTTTTTCATATGTTACTATTTTGTTTCCCCGTGACATTACGCTGGGCACACAACAAGAGTGAGTGAGTGAGTAAGTGGTGTTTTAAGCCGCATCAGCAATATTCCAGCTATTCGCGGCTAGAAAAACACACAAGAGAATGTGGCAGAGGTTATCTTCGTTGCTATCACGGAATGCAGTTAAACTGTACCTTTTGATTACTGTGATTTGATTGAGACATATTTTATTCACAAAAAGTAAATGGGATTACGTGCAAGTGCTCCAACTTAGGACACCTCCTCCCAGATAATTACACAACTGATTCACAGCTTGTTCGTAACATGAACGGAACAGAAGGAAAGAAAAGAACAGGAAAGATACGTGAACAGTGAGAAAAATATAGTTTACATAAATCTCTTTGTATTATGTATGTAACTCTGTACACAATTGGAATTTTTTTATGTTATCCCCATATCATTGAATATCAAATTATCAGTTGGTTTTATCTTCGGTTATACTGCTTATGTTTCTGAGTAAAATGTCTCTTTCTCCATTAAACAAGTCGCATTCAAAGAAAACATTATATGCATTTTCACATTTCCTAACGCATAAACATATTGCTATGTCTAGTCCTTGTATACATAAATCATAGTTTAACTGACTAACGTTTGCCTTGGCTCAATGTGTGGGACAAGGATGTCTCGCATATGTATCTACATAAATCATAGTTTAACTGACTAACGTTATGCCTTGGCTTAGTGTGAAGGACAAGTATGTCTCGCATATGTATCTACATAAATCATAGTTTAACTGACTAACGTTATGCCTTGGCCTAGTGTGAAGGACAAGTATGTCTCGCATATGTATCTACATAAATCATAGTTTAACTGACTAACGTTATGCCTTGGCCTAGTGTGAAGGACAAGTATGTCTCGCATATGTATCTACATAAATCATAGTTTAACTGACTAACGTTATGCCTTGGCCTAGTGTGAAGGACAAGTATGTCTCGCATATGTATCTACATAAATCATAGTTTAACTGACTAACGTTATGCCTTGGCCTAGTGTGAAGGACAAGTATGTCTCGCATATGTATCTACATAAATCATAGTTTAACTGACTAACGTTATGCCTTGGCTTAGTGTGAAGGACAAGTATGTCTCGCATATGTATCTACATAAATCATAGTTTAACTGACTAACGTTATGCCTTGGCCTAGTGTGAAGGACAAGTATGTCTCGCATATGTATCTACATAAATCATAGTTTAACTGACTAACGTTATGCCTTGGCTTAGTGTGAAGGACAAGGATGTCTCGCATATGTATCTACATAAATCATAGTTTAACTGACTAACGTTATGCCTTGGCCTAGTGTGAAGGACAAGTATGTCTCGCATATGTATCTACATAAATCATAGTTTAACTGACTAACGTTATGCCTTGGCCTAGTGTGAAGGACAAGTATGTCTCGCATATGTAGTTTCAGACATTTCAAAGTTGAAACTTCATTTCGCTCTAAAAAATATCTTTGTTGTTTGGAACGTAATGCAGTTTTAATGTGAAGACAACCATGTACGCCCATGTGTAAACACCCATTGCAGTTGCTGCAGCACAGGTCAGCCAGATGTATTAGGACATCTCATCTTACTTAATGTGTCAATCAATAAAACATGCTTACTTCTACTTTTAGAAGTGAAATGGGGTTTAACACCGTGTTCAATGTTATTGCATTTATGTAGGGGCGTGCATGCACATGTGTTTGTGTGACTGCGTGTTCTAGTACGGACTAAAGCCGGTGTGTTGTGGCGGGTCCTTGGGAGTTTGAAGTTCGATCTTCCTTCCTTATTATATAAATATACTTCCTGATGTACACATGCAATCCTAAAACGCAGTAATGTTAATAACAATGCACAGCGCTTGCACACACACACACATACTCACTCACTCACTCACTCACTCACTCACTCACTCACTCACTCACTCACTCACGCACGCACGCACGCACGCACACACACACACACACATATATTTAAGAATTGACCTTCACTTTGTGTGAGTTCATTGGAGTATGAACCTTCATAGAGTGAGGGCCAAACTGTATGAACGTCGGAGCTTGCACACACATACATACATACATACATACATACATACATACATACATACATACATACATACATACATACATACATACATACATCACACGAGTGATATTAGCAAATATCGCCGTGGGCGCTTATTAGAGCGGGGCGCTTATTACGTCGAATACGGTATATATATATATACCGTCGTATATTGAAGTGACTTCTTTTTGCCAAAAAATGTAAATAAATATATCTGCTTTAGTCTGGTGTTGTTGTTTCAGTCAGATGAAATTTCATGTTTTCGTAAAATCCTGAAAAATGCGACTTTTCACCACAGTAAGCAAAACTACAATAAACTAAGGATTGACAGCGGAGAGTATGGGTCTGGGAGAGATAGGGGGGCACGGGTGGCCCAGTCGTCTAAGGCGCCGCGATTCGCTGTGCAGAGTTGCGTCCCTTGGACACGCCAGAAACCTATGATTGTTGGTTCGAATCCCGGTTCGCCCCGATTATGTTTCTAGGTTTGTCAGCACCATACCCGTGCTCGTGGGTTTCACCGAAGTGGTAACCGTCTGAGACCTGCATCACTTCGGGCTTTCCTCCCACATTAAGCTGACACGCCACGATATAACTGGAATAATGTTAGAAGCGGCGTTAAACCAAACTCACTCACTGGGAGAGATAGCCGTGGCTGATTTTGTGACATCAGCTTGCATCCACGTGGCGACCTGGAATAGTCCCTCGGACACCGGACGTGAGCACGGATGAACCCAGCGTCTTATAGGCACCGCAATTTGTTGTGCAGAGTAGCGTCCCTTGGTCATGCCGGTAACCAAGCTCCTTCCCAGCGCGTGACACCTTCGTTACACTCTCGGTAACATCGCGATAGTATTGAGAGCTCTGCGAATGAGCTATCGCTGTGAGGAATTTGTGCCGCTAACATATGGTCATGTCTTCGAATCCTGGTTCGCGCTGATTGTTTCTTGGTTTTCCAGAACCATACCCGTGCTATCCGTGCTTCTGGGTTTCATATAAATGGTTTCGATCTGAGACCTGCATCACTTTGGGGGTTCTTTCCACGTGGAGCTGAAACTGCGTGGCGTGACTGAAAAATGTTCAAATTCAAACAATTGCTTGTCCGTGGAGGCTACTAAAGTGGATGACATTGCTATGCTTGTTTGGCGTGTTTGATTGCGAGTACTCCTACGAAATTGGACATTCCTCATACAACCAGGGGCGGTCGGGTAGCCTAGTGGTTAAAGCGTTCGCTCGTCACGCCGAAGACCCGGGTTCGATTCCGGCCGACATGGGTACAATGTGTGAAGCCCATTTCTGGTGTCCCCCGCCGTGATATTGCTGGAATATTGCTAAAAGCGGCGTAAAACCAAACTCACTCACTCACTCATACAACCAGCTTCCGGTTTGTCTCGTCCAGACTAGATTATGTAAATGCTGCCGTGATATAGCCGGAATATATCATGAGCAAATGTTTATAAATCACTATCAAATAGTAATGATACCAGGTGTTCGCGAAATGGTGAGCATATCCTGCCCCACCGGTACATCCGTCACAAACACATGCAAAGTCAGGTCAATTGTTCATAAGAAAGACATGGGAACATATGGTACAAGTCAAAATAGGGAATTGCAACGGACATCATATTTGTCACTGATGCGTCAAATTTGGAAATGTCCTCCACATAACTACGATAAAACGTGAAAGCTCTTCTGGGGCCTTGAATGTTGTCACCTTGATCAAACAATTTCTGAGCAAGAGTGGTATGACGCTCTTTGGTATAAAGAGCATGCATGTATCTCAGAAGTTGGGTAATGTAAACATCAAAGACTGATGCTGCTGGACTATGGCTCGACATGAAGGGATTGTTGACTCTCGGAAAGTTGAAGTCATCCCTCTTGTCATACAGTCTTGTGGAGAGTGTTTTGTCACTCTGAATCTTTATGCATAGATCTAAATATGAAACAGATGAGGCGGTCTCACGTGTCTCCTTTATTTCTAGTTCAGGTGGGAAGGGAATTGGTTATTTGATTGTTATTGAACAATATCAGATCATCGATATACCTGTTATGTTATGTTAAACTTCTTGGCCGAATTACCTTGTTTTGACTTTGCCAATCCGAGAAATATTGTCAAAGACCTGCATACCTCTAGGCTTTCCTCACACATTAAGCTTACAGGCCCAGATATAAGTTAAATATACAGTAAACTACGGTTATAACGAACTCAAAGGGATCACTAATTTCAGTCGGTATAACCGTAGTTCGTTATAAGCATATATACAGCATAACGACAGCAAATAGTCGTGACAAAAAAGTAGGTTCGTTATATCCGTCAGTTCGTTATAAGCGTGTTCGTTATAAACGTAGTTTACTGGTATTCAATTCAAAACAGCGTTCAGCCTACTTCACTCACTTAATATATGAACATGAATACTATCTCAGTTCTCCCATATAGCATTTCTGTTAACAGCGCAGACACTGATGACGTGATCTGCACGGGAAGCATCATAAACTGCTCGGCAAAAGAATGTATACACCCATATTTGATGGTGGCAAAAAATGAAACAACAAGAAATGTTTATTCGTTAGTAATATATATTATACGGGTATCCTAGTGGTAATTTGGACCTTAAGTTTGCAGTGTTTCGGCGATTGTTTTCAAACCAGTAACGTTTCGATAACGTTTGTAATACGGGGATCAAATTTTCAAGTGTATACATTCTTTTGTACGGCAGTTTATATTCCTATAAAGTGTAAGTGTTTTTGAGTGTTCAGCGTCCGGGAATTTCATTTGGAACCTACCGCGTTACCAGAATGAGGAAACGAAACACGCCGAAAACCAAGGTTTGATTCCCCCACTTGCGTATATAATGTGTGAAGCCCAGCCATTTCTGACACACCCACACCCACCCCCCCCCCCCCCCCCCCCCCCCCCCCACCCACACCCCAATATTTCAATCTCTTATATTCGAAATCACCATTTAATGTATAATACCAAACAAAAGATTTGCAAACATGTTTGTTTACATAAGCACTCTTGCATCGAGTTGCACCTAGTAACACAAAATATGCCATAAAACGTATGGAATAGTCAAGATCTACTCGTATTTTGTGTATAAACTGTTGCTGGTCATTTGTCGCATATTTTCAAGGATCTGTTATGAATAACTACGACTTCCTCAGCAAATTTACTAAATATTTCGTTTCCTCAGAGACCATTACATATTTTATCGCCTCTGGTTTCCACGAAGCTCATCAGATCATATTTAAAGACTCCGTAGCTCTCGAACATGTTTGGACTCGTCCGAGCGACTCCAATGTCCTGTACTCACTCTGGCGACTGGAAAACTCAAAAAGGAGCATAGCTACCAACAACAACAACACGCTCGCATGCTTGGACACAGACCTGCTAACAGAGAAGATAGTGTTTGGTTTTGTCGCTGATGGAACAAAGGTTATTTTTGCTCTACATTATCTTTATGTCACCGCTCCATATATCTCCACCGCTAGAAAATAATGGCCCAGATAATAATATCAGCCTGTGAAACATAAAATTCGGCCCAGGCGTGTTGTGCCCGTGTGGATATAGTGATTTGTGTTATTCTTTTAGAAAGCGGCACGCGAGATCAGTGAAGCGATAGCCAATTTTTCTTGAGACATGAACCTCCTAGTTTAGTACTTTTTCCAGTGTATCAACATACATGATCGTGCACACGTATCTGAGACCCCACAGTGATGACAATCTACGCAGCACAGTACAAAGGATGATAAACAGAGATATGATCTTTTCCAGCTATCTCACATCTTAACATGTACAATGTACAGGTACAGGTACAAGGCCTCTGAAGTTCTAGGGTAGAATAGGTCTTTAGCAACCCATGCTTGGCGTAAAAGGCGACTATGCTTGTTGTAAAAGGCGACTAACGGGATCGGGTGGTCAGGTTCGTTGACTTGGTTGATGCATGTCATCGATGCCAATTGCGTGGATCAATGCTCATGATGTCAATCACTGGATTGTCTGGTCGTGACTCAACTATTTACAGACCGCCGTCATATAGCTGGAATATTGCTGAGTGTGGCGTTAAACAACAAACCAACCAGCCAACAAGCCCCTAAATAATAATGACAACAAGGTAGATGATTCAAAGCCCACTGAAAACATCAAGGTGTTTAGCCTACCTCTTGCCGTTGAAGTTATGTTTCAAATTAGGCAACACGAGGTAAGATATTCAATAAGTAATGAAAACATACCCGAAACTTACTTTTTCACCAATGCAAATTTTAATCATACTTGGGGTATGCAGCTATTGATAACTAGACTGCAATGAAAGGGCTCGAAATCAAATGACGGAAACAAGATGCCGCATGATCGAGTTTGTCTCTCTGGAGGCATTATTGTATTGGGATTGGGATAAGACACGTACCGGTAATCAGAAATACTGCTTTGGGGCTCAAAGATTTGTAACACAAGGATATATATTCATCCCGGACAGTCGTGATGTAATCCTGGGTGGCCCTGGCAGTTTGCCTCAGACCACAATTGTTTTCCTTCTTTGCTATCTATAGTGACATGACAGCCCACAATAATTAGTAACAGCAAACTATCCTTTTCCCCTGTCACTAGATGAGAGAAACATGATATTTCACAAGACACATGGAATATGCTATTTATTATATAATTTTTGTGTAGTTGTCTACCTGAAAATTAAATTATTTCATTACGAATGTAAAACCTTGAAACGTATATTCTCCCTACCTAATACACAGGACGGTTAACCACCCCTTATATTTGCGTCTAAAAAAGTAATTTCGTGTTTTCAAAATCTTAAGAAATATAAACAAAAGTAAAAAAAATAATTTAGCGTCACAAAAATTCTATATCATGCATACAGATATGATTGTAAATATTTTTGAAAGCTACGAGACATGTTGGAAGTAAAAGAATATACGCCAGTCAAGAAACAAAAATGGCGCTTTGCAAAACGATCAGTTTTGGTTGACAAGTGAAATGAGAAATTTACAGTTTATAACGAAACATTTTCGAAAGATTAACAAACCTCAAGAAGTGATATTAACTCCACAAATGGCCATCTTTCATTATTTTGCCTTGTCAATAGGGAACTTACATAAAAAGGATCGTACGGCCGAGACACTTACAATTAAGGGAGACAATTTCAGGGGAGGTAACATTTGGTTATTGATACGTTCCGTCAAAGAGTTATGTTCACTGTAGTGAAATATCAAGTGTTATGTTCACTGCAATGAAAATATCACTTTTCTCAACTTCGGAAAGTATATAATAAAACAGTGTTTGTGTTTGTATTATATGTCAAATATGTTTATTATCTTCCAAAACTGGCTCCACAGGAGATATCGTTACAATGAAATTGCATTACAATGCTTTGCAGGCCATTGTGACATCATCAGTTGACATGACGTCACAATTTAATGAAATAACTTAAATCTCTGCCACCGGAGCTGGTTAACTGTTTACTCTCAAGACACTGCTTATTACTGTTTACAAACTGAAAAAAACTAAGAAGTATGATTATTGATGAAAAACAGAATCCCAGCAAGCCTTGGAGTTTCATCAAGTATGTTGATATATGTGATATCACTAGCTACCCAAACTATTTGACACATTCTTATAGTACATGTACCAAGAAGGAGTGAGTGAGTTGGGTTTAACGCCGCTTTTAACAGTAATCTAGTTATATCACAGCGTGTCAGCTTAATGTGGGAGGAAAGCCCGAAGTAATGCAGGTTTCAGACATTTACCACTTCTGTGAAACCCACGAGCATGGGTATAGTGCTGACAAACCTAGAAACATGATCGGGGCGAACCGGGATTCGGACCCACAGTTTCTGGCGTGCCCAAGGGACACAACTCTGCACAGCGAATCGCGGAGCCTCAGACAAATGGGCCACCTGCGCCCCCACCAAGAAGGACACATTCGCACCAATATACTTATTTAGGTTTCAAGTTTTGCACTACAATCAACAATAGATAGGGTCCCTCAAAATATATGTCAAGAATGGACATATCTTCTGGCCTCTGTTTTCAGAGTCCAAGGTTGTCCATATCCTGTATCCACACTTGTATGGGCATAGGGAATGGCAATATCACTCTGCCTTTTATTAAACAACACAATTTGCTGTACAGCTTTGTTGTCCTTTGCCATGCTGAGATATAGAGAATCTCACCCGAGTGTCTTTTGATATCAAATATAGCAACGAGTGTTGTTATGTTTGATATTAAAAGACACTCGGGTGAGATTTTATTTATCATCCAACATCATTCTTCCAACTTTTTCAGTTTATTGACAGTAATAAGCAGTGTCTTAAGTGTAAAAAGTACTGCTTACAGCTTCAATAGCAGAGCCATTAGTGATGTCATGGTAACCAATGATGTCACAATGGTCTGCAAAGCATTGTGATGCAATTTCATTGCAGCGATATTTACAGTGTAGATGTCGCTTGGTCTCACCCAAGGGATATCTCCTGTGGGAGCCACTTTTGGATGATAAATGTTGATTGTGGTGGGTTTTTGTTTTGTCCAGCACAATACCCATTTTAAAGGGCTTCACCAAAGTGGTCTGTCCCAGACAGCCTGCCATGATACCATTGTCAGTATTCATGCATTACTAGTGTCCATGAGACACAGAACAAAAATATACTAATATTAGGACATATCAAGCTGACAGCATCGTCAATACAATACGTCCTTGTTGTCTGTGTGTATGAAAAATGTTTGGTGAGTGAGTATGGTTTTACGCCGCTTTTAGCAATATTCCAGCAATATCACGGCGGGGGACACCAGAAATGGGCTTCACACATTGTACCCATGTCGGGAATCGTACCCGGGTCTTCGGCGTGACGAGCGAATGCTTTAACCACTAGGCTACCCGACCGCCCCTCAAAAATGTTTAAATCTACTGGCCTGGGCATGGCTCCTAGCATCATTTTCAGTAGATTTTAGTGTTATCATATTGATTGTTTTTTAGCTGAGTTTACGAGAACGAACAGATTTTCACAAGACTCCTGCTTTGAACAAGTGGCTAAGGTCTCAGACTGGGCTTGTACCGGGTATACACTATGTTCCCATTATAGTATTTTGTTCTCTCTCACCTTGAGTGATACACATTCCTGTTTTATCTCTGTTTCTTTGCTTCCCTTTCAGAGTGAATTATGGCAGAGAATACCGACAATAAGCCAGAAACAAAAACAAATGAGCAGGATACCAAAGGTAAGAAAGAAGTAAAGTGATGAACCCAAAATACATGTTCATATTAAAAGAACTCTTAATGGTAGAAACAAATGGACTTAAGTACATCAAGTCAAGTTCTGTTAATCTGACATGGTTGGCTGCGTATGATTAACAAGTATGTCAGATAAACAAAATTAAGTAGTATCAATGTTATGATCGAAATTCGGGCAACTACAAGATGGATAACAATACATACTTGTTGTAATAAAAAAAGGAAGTATGCTGATCACTGTGTTGGATTAACAAGACTGATTAATGAGTAATTTTGGTCATTCGTTGCAAATTAGGTGTGTCCGAGTGCAAGACTGTCGGATTAACGGGCCTTAATACCACCGATTTAATCGGTTCCCATCATTAGAGTAGTACAGATGATGGTGATTCAGCCGCAACCCATCCTGAAACATTCCCGAACCCTTACAAGGCTTCTATGGGGGTATTAAGTTTATGTAAATTGTTTGATGACGATCCATGGATCGTCATGTCCTTTAAGCTAAATTGTAATGATAAAGGATTCTGGCTCATTCCTATCTGGGCCAGACCTAGACCCTAACAATGCTTCTATATTATCCATATAAGATTTATAGGACATTAGCAGAACGTTTGTTTGGATATCAGTATGGGAATGAAATGAAATCTGATCGGTTAAGATCAACGGAATGGGTGACATGATTATCAGCTGTTGTATCAGCGCTAAATAATGAAGTAAAAAAGATTAATTGGGAAGAAACCATCTGATGCTGTTAAAATGAAATCTTTGACTTCCGAATCTTCAGCACCACGGAGAGGCAAAGAACAAAAACTTCCGGATAGAGTAAGTGTGAACTTGAAGGAGGCCAACGTCGTGCAACTGACCCAGTATGATCTCTTAAGATATATAACATTAGTTGATTGGTTATGAAAGAAGGCGAGCCATCTATATATTATCTTAAAGATGGACTGGGCAGGGGATTTATCCCTAAGTGACTATAAGCATAGGGAGAAACACCATCCTTGTCAATCCATCTCTTTGTATCTGAAGGGGATAATGATGTCTTGTTCATTCTTAATCCATATGTCCTGTGCTTCTTAAAGTATTCATCTCATGTTTGAATGTTCTACCATTGAATAATGCTTCTTCATACTGTTCGTGTTTGATATGCTTTTTTACCACATACTTCTTAATGCCTTTAGCTTTTCTTATCTCCTCTTTATCAGATTTCTTTATAGAATTCATCTGAGGTCTTATCTGAGGGATTATCTTTTGGGTAATCGCTTGTTTCGTACATATCTATCTATCTATCTATCTATCTATCTATCTATCTATCTGACCAATTTAACATCAACACGCGCTTCCTTAGATTCTCCATAGTTTTACCAAATACTGAGTTATTCATGAGTTTATATAAGTTCTTTTCGAAATGGCTAGTAGCCATTCTTTCTTAAATCTGTGTTCAGCCTTATATAGGGCTCCATCCAAGGGCTTTGATCAATACTCAAGACCTCATTACCGCTTATTTTAATCGTAATGTTCTTTACAATTGCACGACCTATGTTCTGAATAAGCTCCCTGTTAACATCAGAAGAAGACAAACTAATTGTAAGTGATAGTCGGTGAGTTCCTGGAACTAACACATGAGGACCAAGATAAGGAGCACGAACCAGAATTGTCCTATTTTGGTCAATGGTACTTGGGTTATTAGTTATTGTTACAGACTGGCGAAGTGCTTTGACCCCTAATGGATCCTGAAGTCAACGTTGTGGATTTAACTTGCGCCCATATTGCATAGACATTGTTTATATTGAAATTACGTTTTCCTATGTTTAATATAAAAAATGGATAAAATTAATCTAGATGACCTAACTGATACCACTTCAGCCGAAGGAGAGACTTTATGGGGCAAGGAGTAAATCTTAATGAGGAAGTTCTACAATCAATTGTTAATGATTATTACGATGCCTTAAAAGAAGACAAAAAATATGTTACTCCCATTGTCCGTGACTATTCCAAGTTTGCAATTGAGAGTAAAGGAATATTGTGACTGTGTGGCTCTCCAGATACTGATCTTAGGAATTCTCGTTTTCGGAAACCCCTAGCGTTGTCTACAACAGCTGGGCGCCGTGGTGGTAACAATATAATTTATAATTCGTAATGAATTAGGGTCAGTCGGGTAGCCTAGTGGTCAAAGCATTCGCTCGTCACACCGAAAACCCGGGTTCGATTCCCGACATGGGTACATTGTGTGAAGCCCATTTCTGGTGGCCCCCGCCGTGATATTGCTGGAATATTGCTAAAAGCGGCGTAAAACCATACTCACTCACTCACTCACTCGTAATGAATTAGGTCTGGTAGACTATGACAACTCACAAGCAAAACTTTCTGCAAAGACTACTAAGGTAGGCTGTGGGGACTGAACTTGGTGCAACGGCTGCTGCCAAAGATAAAGATAATTTGGAAGACTTACCACAACACGCATGGTCTCGGGAACACCATGGTAACCTATGAAGAGTCTACATTACAGGCAGATATTTTCTTTGATAAATGTTGGCTTCATCTATCACACAAGAGTCACTAAGAAATCGGTGTCACAGCAGTAAACGTTTCTGGTTTATTATTACCCGTATAACCTACCTCTTGACCAAACTTGCATGTTGCTCAGTGACATATCCATGCCTTTTCCAAAAACATAGTCTACTTTAGAACCAGCATACTGTAGTACATCCTGATATTGCCTGATAGCTGAAGACAGGTCAACTTGTGACGAAATAGCGTCCTCTATGTTCGCAGTAAACTGCTTTTGAGCATCAAACAAGGGCTGGGACGGGTAACTTTGGTACTGAGTAGGTCCCGGGTACCCACAGGACTACCCTGATCACGGTCCAGTGACACACATCAGTCAGGACCATCATTGGGTACTGTGGACACCAAGGCCATGTTTTAGATTTAATTGTTAACTGAAATTTATGTCAAAGTCAAAAGTGTTTAGACCGCTTAATTTGGGTAGGAATCACAGAACAAATCCGTGTAAACTCTTATTTTGTATGTGGCATAATATTGTTTACTTTGTTGGTTTAGCAGAAGAAATATTGGGAACTAAAATGTATTATTTCTACATTAACAAGTTACATCTGAGAGATGAATGTCTTCTCTTTAATAGATGTTAGTGGTGACCGCGACATCGTCAACAATTGGATGACATCACATGCTTCCATGGCAACCGAACAACCTAGTGAGTAGAATCCACATGAGTGAAATTTAAGGAAATTACATACATGATGACAACAGTATTCACATTCAAAGGTCCTCTCTGTTCTGATGGTATTGTGTTTGTTTGTTTGTTTAAAGCCGCACTCAGCAATATTCCAGCTATATGACAGCGGTCTGTAAATAATCAAGTCTGGACCAGACAATCCAGTGATTGACATCATGCGCATCGGTCAACGAACGTTGAACCATATGGTTGTCAGTTTTGATTTCTGTCAATGATTGATGATGAAGATGAAGCTGAGACAGAGATTTAATGTAATGAATGCAATATTCATATACACCTGCCAAGTACCTAGTTCATTATGATTTATAGTATATACATAGTGGCCAAAGCACATAAATTGCAGAGTTCTGGACATCAGGTAGCCTAGTGGTTAAAGTGTTCACTCGCCACGCCGAAGACCCGGGTTCGATTCCGACATTGGTACAATGTGTGAAGCTCATTTCTGGTGTCCTCCGCCTTGATATTGCTTGAATATTGCTAAAAGCGGCATAAAACCATACTCACTCACTCATTCTGAAAATCGATCAAGTATTGACAATGGAATGGGGATCAGTCATATCCTGGTTGAACAGGGAAAGCCAGAGAGAGGCATTTAGCACACAATTTTCATTTATGTTTCACACATCAGTTCGTCTCAAAACTGTACAGATTATAATAAAAATCAGGTGTAGCACTGGTGTCACTGCCATCATATAGAAATTTACTTTAAAAAATATTGTTACACTTTCTAACTTTCAAAAACGTTTAACAATATATTGTATGTAAAGCATTTTTGTAGAAAAAATATGCTCATGTGAATGCTATGATATTCCTTTACCATTTTACAGTACACAAAATGTTGCTTTCAAGGACATATTTACAGTAAATAATCATGAAACTTTCTTCATATTCCTTTTAACCATGTTTGTCAGTGGATTAAACTGTGGTGCATGTATATTCGTTTTTACAATCAATTAGGACTGAACTACACTATTCTGTCCTAGAAAATTTTAGGGAAAGCAAGCATGTGTGCTTCGGCCTAAGTTTAGGTTTTCTTTCTAGTAAGCTCAACTTATTATGGTCCATTGGTGTTAACACTAAAATCAACTGGAAAATATTCTAAATGTCAAGTTCAGCTTGTAGACTGTCACAAACTGAGGGGGGCACGGGTGGCCCAGTCGTCTTAGGCACCGTGATTCGCTGTGCAGAGATGCATCCCTTGTGCACGCCAGAAACCGATGATTGCGGGTTCCAATCCCGGTTCGCCCTGATTGTGTTTCTAGGTTTGTCAGCATCAAGCCCGTGCTCGTTGGTTTCATCGAAGTGGTAAACGTCTGTGACCTGCATCACTTCGGGCTTTCCTCCTACATTAAGCTGGCACGCGGTGATAAAACTGGAATAATGTTAAAAGCAGCGTTTAACCCAACTCACTCACTCACAAACTGAAATATTAAAAAGTTATATATTATTGATGAATTTCAGAAGGGGAGAACCTGGAAGATCTGTTATCAACACTACAGAAACAGATCAAGGGCTCCGATTGGTTGAAGGAAAACACCGCAGAGAAGTGGACAGCCGAAAACAAGGAATTAGCTGAAGAATTTATGAAAGCAAAAGAATGCAAAGAAAAGAAGGCAGACTCATGAAGAGAACTGAAATCGTCTTAGGAAAAGACGTGAACAAAAGTTACGACAAAAGAAGTTAGGCTCAGGAAGGTTCTGTTATAGGCCTATGGTTGTGTTGGTAAACCAGTTCTGATATTTTTCCTCATTGCCATGGATATCAGAAGAAATTAACCATGAGGCATTTTACTTTCAATTATAAATGGAACCAAAACTGAAAGGAATTATTTTAAAATCCATGAGATAATGATCATGAAGGAAGCATTACATATTTTGATATCCAGTGCAGGCTTGATACCTAATGTCAGTGAATGTGAATTGAAGGTACATAGTATTGAGGTCTGAACTGGTGTCAAGCAATACTAACACATCCTGATGATTATGGAAACACGTTGTTGGCTTGAGAAAAAAAAGAAGAGGTTTTATCAAAGGGAGATAATTAGATGTATGTTTCAAATTATCTCCCTTTGACCAATGATGCCCAACAGTTGCACATGACCAGAATTTCACAGTCTTTCATGACTTTGGCAAGTTTTTGTGAGTTACAAACTACATATACAACAAGCAAATTGCAATAGTCCCTTGGAGTTTGGTTTAACCATGTTTTACTGTATTTTAATTCATTTTACTTCTTTTTGTGTTAAGACCAAATATATTTCAGTATATCATAATCAAGAGACAGGATGCAAAATAATGATGTTGTCGTGGTTCTTTCGAGTATAATTTCCTAAAGTTGAAGAAACAAATAATTTTCAATACATTCTTTTCATTAGTGTGTCTTATTTTCCAATTGCATGGTAGGTTTGTTTATGATGCCTCTGTAACAAGAAAATAGATTAATCTGCCCAAACAATTAATTGCAAATCCTTGAACGTTATGAATACCTAATTTAAGAAACTAGTTAAAGTCCTACAGCATCCTACATCCTACAGCATGCTAGGACAGCATATTACAAGTTTTACATCTGATATGGAAGAGTAGCTCCTTATTCCCATGTATCTTAAGGGCAGACTAAATTGGGTAGGAAGTGGTGAAAATGGTGTGATTGTATTGTTTAATACACTAAACTGTGTTTTGATGCCCTCATTGTCAACCACTGGTTTATCTGGTCCAAATTTAATTACTTAAAAGTAACAGGCTGAAACAACATTCACTCACTTACCCAATAGAGTTGTTTTGGTTTTTTGGTTTTAATTTCACACTCAAAAATATTTTAGTTATATGAAGGTGGTCTGTAAATAATCAAATCTGGCCCCAGACAATCCAGTGATTGACATCATGAGCATTGATATGCACAATTGGATACAATGACATGCATCAACCAAGTCAGCAAGCATGACCACACAATCCCTTTAATGGCCTCTTTCGACAAGCATTGGTTGGTGAAAATCAGTTCTGACCCAGATCTTCACATGGTCACTCATTAGAGGTTGTGAAGTGAAGTGATTGACCTAGGCTTGTTTCTAATGTGTGTCAAAAAGTCTCCTTCAGATCTCATTCCATGAATAAAATAAAGAACAGAAAATTTGTCAGTGTTTATTGTTCTACAAAGAATCTGCATCAAGTTTGCACGAATGTAGAGAATGGACGCAAGAAAGAAATATACTGCATCCCAAGGGCCTCAATAATATTCATTGCAGCTACAGCACATCAAGAGCAGTTTTGGGTGTCTGTAATTACATCCATCAATCAAATGTCCACATGATCATTGATTCATTCCAGGCTCTGAAGGAATTATCAAAATATCCAGTAAACTACACCATTTGATTATATTACAGGACCCTCTTAGTGCCTGCTAGGACCCTCAAAATTAATTATTGGGGTTGCCTGGACCCCCACTCTTTTAAGTCAGAGGTAAAACCCTGGTTCACCATCTGACTGCCATGACCTGGGTGTGATCATCTGTTGTAGTACACTGCAGACTAAGCACATGTTCACTCACTTTCATTTACCCGGTACCAACCCATGGGGCTTCAATTTGGGGTGCACTTGGGATAGTTCAAGGAAGTGAGTGAGTGAATGAGTATGGTTTTATGACACTTCTGGCAATAGTCAAGCCATATAAATCCAGGGGACACCAGAAATGGGCTTCACACATTGTACCCATGTGGGGAATCAAACCCTGGCCTTCGGAATGTCAAGCAAACACTTCAACCACTGGCTACCCACCTGCCCTAAGAAGGTCGGAGATGCAGAGTCAGTTACTTGACCACAAATGTCAGCAAGCCTTGCTCTTTCAGTAAAGGTTAAAGGGAGTATGACCATGATGATGTCACTGTGTAGCATCCTTCCTATCTGTTGTCGAACAGCAGGAATATTGCCGAGTGTGGTGTTAAACAACAAACAAACAGATCATTAATGGAATATCACTGTACATAAGAAAATGAGGAAAACATATAAATGTGCATCCATTCACACAAAACTGACAATTAAAATTAATTATGTTTCTGTGGTAAGAGATAATGGACAGTTAAATACTACTTGTTATGCTTCTTTAAAAAGCTGTTGACATAGAGTGTGTTAGTAAATGCACCAAGCACAATAGCATACTCACTGACCTGTCCTTCAATTGGGAAATTAGATTAAGTCACCTAGATTCTAGAACTAGTTAAATACCCTTGACACAGACCAGCTGGAGTCAAGATGGGTATGTATGGTGTGGATAGTTCCCCAGAGCTCTCTGTATTGTTAGTTTTCTTGTGTGGTGGCACGACGGTCTCTGCTTGCCAAGCGTTTTTTAACAGATCTTGGCATCGCTGAGGGAGGCAGCTTGCTGCAGTGACTCATTTACTTGGCTACCTCTACTTCTACTTCCAGCTTTGTTAACTATGAGAGTAAATTCTGTGGTTCCACTGACATTTCACTCAAAACAGGAAAGTTTTTATTTAGCTACATCCGCTTATGTTTGTAAGTTGGAAAGCTGTCTTCAGACAAAATATAATTTTCTTGAACCCAAGTATTTACAATTGGACAACAAAACACATTCTGTATAGATGAGGCATGTCAAAACACGTTCAATCTCCTCAAGCATGGTACAAAAATCAGATTAGTTTATTTCTAATCATAAAATGAAGACTTTTATGAAACCAGTGACACATGTACTGTATCACTCACTGTGTATAATAAATAGCTCTGTTCGTGACGAATAAAATACTACAAGTACACTGACGAATAAAATTCTACAAGTAGATTTGTCCCATGACCACAATACATGCCCAGTCAACCATGGCGATCAATTGTACTCTTGAGCAGGCAAGTGCGATTCAGTGACACGATTCAGCGCTTGCAGTGTGAGGACACTGTGTACGTGATAGACCTTCTCTTGAGGCTTTTCTATAACCTGAATCCAGTTCTGCCAACACCGACTGTGGTTCTAAAATAAGTTGACGTAGTATTTGGCTGCATGGTTGGTTGGTTGGTTGGTTAGTTTGTTGTTTTAAGCCGCACTCAGCAATATTCAAGCTACATGACGGCGGTCTGTAAATAACCGAGTCTGGACCAGACAATCCAGTGATTGATATCATGAGCATCGATCCACACAATTTGGATGACATGTTTCAACCAAGTCAGCGAGCCTGACCACCCAGTCCCGTGAGGCTGCATGGTTGGTTGGTTGGTTGGTTGGTTTGTTGTTTTACGCCACACTCAGCAATATTCAAGCTACATGACGGCGGTCTGTAAATAACCGAGTCTGGACCAGACAATCCAGTGATTGATATCATGAGCATCGATCCACACAATTTGGATGACATGTTTCAACCAAGTCAGCGAGCCTGACCACCCAGTCCCGTGAGGCTGCATGGTTGGTTGGTTGGTTGGTTGGTTTGTTGTTTTACGCCACACTCAGCAATATTCAAGCTACATGACGGCGGTCTGTAAATAACCAAGTCTGGACCAGACAATCCAGTGATTGATATCATGAGCATCGATCCACGCAATTGGGATGACATGTTTCAACCAAGTCAGGGAGCCTCACCACCCAGTCCCGTTAGTCCCCTCTTAAGACAAGCATAGTCGCCTTTTACGGCAAGCATGGGTTGCTGAAGACCTATTCTACCCCGGATCTTGGCTGTTGGGTGATGGCCTGTGCATAGTCAAGGAGGACCAGGAAAATAGCACCTGAGAATCTACATAAAAACGTAGCTGATTGCAATAAACTAGGAGTTGTCGTCCATAAGTTGTATGTTTTCTTTTTCACCTCCAACCATATATGTCCAGATAACAGCAATTCTTCTTCTTCTTTTAATATACTGTAAATCGTGAAATTAATGTGTCTCCAAAAGAATGCGACCACTGGACCCTAGCAAAGAATGCGACACCCCCTCATCTCAAGCATCACTGGATTTCTATCCAAAGATGTCCTTATTAGCGCCGAGTAAAGAACTTCCGCAAAAAAAATACATGCACGCTGGCTCGTGTCGGCCTTTGATGCAGTCGCAAAGAACAAAGGGTGGCGTCTGTCTGGACTTGCAGGTGTGATCAGTGATGACATAAGTGAGTAGAACGCTTGTCTTGACCCAAGCAGTGACAATTCACAGGATGTTATTAGTGTTTGAATGACATTGTTTATATACTTTATATACAAGTGCTGCTCAATAAATAGTGGTGTGGAATACATCAGCGTATGTCTAAGTTGGTATTTTTGCTATCCAAAATGTCTTATTGTTGATATAAATGTGATGTTTAAAAATGCGAGCATAGACCACTCGCATTTTTTGCATTTAATTCACGCTCGCGTTAAGTTCAAGATTTACAGTATCTGTCAAATTAATGGATCAGTTGATCTGGCTCAGGGTCTTCCTTGAGGTGTCATTGAATGATACCCTGACGGTGTGGATTGTTGTTTATAATGTCCATCCCCAGATTATCTTTGTGTCCCCTTGATGTGGGACGATACCCCAAAGTGATGCAGGTCTCATATGTTTACCTCCGAGGTGCAACCATTGAGCTAGGGTCTGGAGGTGATAAATCCATTAATCAAAATCAGAGCAAATTTTGGAAACAAACACAGGCTTAAAGCATACCTAAGAGACACAACACTGCACTGTACTGAATGGGCCATCTGTGGCTGCAAGTGAGTGATAAGTGAGATTCAGTATTTCAGTTGTATCATGGCGTGGCAGGTTTATGTTGGAGAAAAGCCCATGTGGGTGTGGGTGTCTGCTTGTACGTGTCTTGACTTTTGTTGGTTTCAAAGTGCTAGCCCACTGAGATTCCATGCAAATTTACATGTATATTCGGGGGCACAGGTGGCCCAGTTGTCTAAGGTGCCACAATTCGCTGTGCAGAGTTGCGTCCCTTGGGTACCCCAGAAACCTATGATTGTGGGTTCGAATCCCAGTTCGCCCCGATTATGTTTCTAGGTTTGTCAGCACCATACCCGTGCTTGTGGGTT